GTAGAAAACATTGAAATGGTAGATTATCAAAATCTCACATACTTCAAAATGATCTTTCTCCTAACTACTATTATTCATATATAGACAGTAGCTTTTCTTTGCAAAATCTAAAGCTGTCTATTGACATTACATACCGTACCGATTAACACTAATGTCTATGTCCCAATCCTCATAGATACGTTGGACGTTATTGTAAGTCGGGATAATATGCTATCTAAGTAGTTCACCACAAGCAGAGATTTACCTACTTCACGCCGTTGGCGAGTATTGTATTTTGTTGATGTTATAAAGATTACCATTTCATTTCCAACCTCAGTTTTGGTTATTCCTCATTCAGTGACCTTTTCTAGGTCACAACACTAATGAACTAGTTCTGCTGAATATATTTCATGTACAGTTAATGACAAAATTATTCGTACAGCCATCAGTTTTGAATAATTTTATCCATTTCTCAGAATCTAATGCCCGTATAATGTCAAGTTTTTTATGTCTTAATAAGCACAAAAACGAAATAAAACTCAATTGTTAGAATAATAGATTAAATAGAACAAATTTGACAGGCGAATTATGCAATATAGGTAAAACAAATTTGTATAGTATGAAAAGTAAAACAAAATCAACAATTTTCACAATATTAATAATCAATAGTATGGACACTCATCTTTATAACTTGCTGCAATCATTTTCCAAAGTTTTTGATGAGATTTGAATAAGTCTTTTCTGGAATTTTCTTCTATTCTCCAATGGTTATATATTCTAAGGCCGGAAGACTTTTTAGTGCCAACAATTTATTCAAAGTTTCAATTCTTTCCATAGATTTTCAATAGGATAAAGCTCAGGAATCATTGAAGGTCGTCGCAGAATTGTAATTTTCTCTTGAAGCCACGCAGTCACTGATTATATATATGTTTAGGATCATTATCTTGCTGGAGAGTAAATTGCCGACCTAGATGAGGATTTTACGCTGATAATTTTAGATTTTCATCCAGAATTTTGATACAGTCTGCAGATTTCATTATTCCTCTTATTGCTATAAATTGTCCAGTCCACCTAGAATGAAAACAAACCCCAAAACATCATCGAGCCACATCCCCGTTTTAATGTTAATAACATATAAAAAAAAAAAAAAAAAAAACCCTGGCATCATACAAGCATTAAATTCTGGAAATAGATACAAATATGCAAAATTAATGAATGGACGAATAATTTCGTTGTTGACTGTAATTAGTTCCACACTTTGGAGAGCTTAATTATTGTATCTCTATTCCATTATAAGCTCAAGTATTTAAGTTATCTCTAGATCATAGGTTCGGTCAGGATACTGATGTTCATCTAATACAAGGCTCAAAAGACGCTCAAGGTGGGGTATCTGAAGATAGAGGGTTACTGTATGGTTTTGCATGAGAATAAGGAAAGACAAGACGTGAAGTTCACGAGCTCATACAGGAAAGGTAACGGTTAATCTTAGACTAGAATATGTCAAGGTTGTAGTGATTGGAAAAACATCTTACCGGGAGTCTGGTCTAAAAAGAAGCAGTTCTGAGGAAGAAGTGGAACTTACTTCTTCTTAATAGAATACGATAAAAATGAGGATCATTCGTCTTTGTCTATGTGGCATGAGGGTTCCAGATGCAAAGATCAGGGCTGGGGTGGGGGAAAGGACTGTAGCTCGTCAGAAAAAAACACCACAGAAATAGCGACAATGAGGATTGGGTAGAAATGTTTAATCTATTCTGACTCTTGTAAAGATAGAGTTTATCAGGAGGGATCAGATACTTACTGGATCGGTCCAATAAAGCGACTATTTTTCCAGCACCTTTAGAAATAGGTCGATTATATGAATTCCATTTGATGTCTGTTCAGAGCTTTAGCCCCCAACAGACGTTCAAGGTTCAGAGTCTCCGTGAGAGATGATCCGTTATGATAGGTTCAGTGTGTGTTCATAGGCCATGGAACGTCTCTGATTTAGCTTTGGTTATTTACAAAACTATTCATCTATTCATTTATTTATTGATGCTGTATGAGCATAAGAGAAGGCAAGAGGTGAAGTTCATGGAGTTCTGCAGGAAAGATAAGTTAACCCTAGACTTGAAGATGTCAAGATTATAGTGATTGGGAAAAACACTCTGGCTTTTGTAAAGATAGAGTTTAGTAGGAGGAGTCAGATGCTTACTGGAATGGTACAATTTTCCAGCATCTTTAGCAAAAGATCTTATGTATGAGTTCCACTTGAGGCTTAGGGTGCGTTTGATTCCCAATAGACATTCAGGAACTTCCTTGAGAGAAGACCCATCTATCATGATAGTTCATTTTTGGTCTGGTCTTCCTCTTGTAAACATAGAGTATATCATGGGAAGCCAGATACTTACATGAGTGCTACAATAAAGCGACTATTTTCCGAGCATCTTTAGTAATAGGACGATTTACATGAGCTCCATTTGAGATCTGGTTAGAGCATTAGCCCCCAACAGACGTTCAAGTTTCAGAGTCTCAATGAGAGAAGATCCGTCCATTATGATAGATTCTGTGTCTGCTCATTGGTCTTGTCTGATTTGGCTTTGGTTATTTACAAAACTATTCATCGGCAAGTAATGATATATGCGGCCTTTTCTTTATTGCAGCTGGTGGATGTTTCGTGAATAAATGCGACAGTTTTATTTTCCAATTGGTATAATGCTCCAGCCAAATTTAGTAGCACTGAACTTACATGAAGTTGTTTTTGCCCGTCAATGTTTTCACAATGAAATTGTTATCAACTAACTGATATTAGTGAAGTTGTCAGGATATAAGTATATTTTATGATTTCCCGCTTTATAGAAGATATATAAACTGATAAAAAATATAGATAATATCTTACTGCAGGTATCAGATTTTACAGTACAAACAAAATCATAATTTAAATATCTATTTATAAATAACTCTAAAATATTTATTTTACCGGACATTAATATAATAGCCGAATGACCTGAATATATGTATTTATTATTTTACTTGTTAATACGCTCTTCTTGACATTTTAAAACCTTTATCATACTTTTATTGATTGATTTTTAATTTCTCTACTGTTTCAACTGTAACATTTGTTTTGCCATTTTGATGTTTGCCAGCAAATCTTCTCCGCTTGAATATCATATTCTATATTTGTATACAACTTTTATGATGGATCACATATTTTCTATTGGATTAATATGTGGAGAGGTTGGTAATTTCTTGGAAACCGTTTTTAGCAAAATGGAAAGGAGCCAACTTTGTAGAATATGAACGAAAACCGTCCGACATGAATATAATGTTTAGCTTAAAGACATGTGGTTGTGACATGTCCAACTCAAAACCTTTGGCCAAAAGAATTAATCATTTTCTGCAGTCATCTTGATATCATCATCAACTTTGGTTTATAATTTATTTGACTACAAAAATAACCACAAAACGAATTACTTCGCCACCCTGTGCTCATTTTTAAGCTGCATTCTTTCACTATTTTCCTAAAGGAAAAAAAATCTAACCCAAGCAATAGGTCGTTCCATGTAAATTTTCATTCATCGCTAAAGGTTACTTTTAGAAATTCAGTTTTTCTGTATTTATCGCCTCACTTTCAAGTTTCTGTTTGTGATTATTTTATTTAAATGTTCAAGTTTCGTTGCTTTCCTGTCTTTAATGTTCTTAATAATCAGCATCTCTTCTTTCTCTTTACACTAACAACGCTAGTTTCTTCAAATGTTTTCTTGATTTCCAGGGTCTTTTTCTTTATTATTATTATTATCATTATTATTATTATTATTATTATTATTATTATTTTGTTGAATTTCTGTTCTATACACATTTTCTTCTGAGTCCCAACCAGAGACCTAAGGTTAGAAATGGCTTCATGACACTAATCATTTTTTGTAAAAAAAAAAAAAAAATAAACTCACGTATTTTACAGACATAAAGCTCTATGTAATATGTGAGCTATACTTGTGAGTACATGATTCTGTATTTCTTTAAGACATTGATTACCAGAAACCCGTTCAATGAATGGCAACATATTCCAATCAATCTGAGGGCTCAAACTACAAGTGGATTTATTGATGCCCTCATATGCCACATTTTTGAGATTTCCAATGCAATATCCTTGTATTTTGATAGTTATTATTATTATTATTATTATTATTATTATTATTATTATTATTATCAATACCATTATATTTCCATTTCTGCTTTGTTACGCACTATCTAACGAGCCTGTTTGAAGACCTAGGGCAGTTAGTGGTTTTGTTCTCAATGTGGAGGCTTTACTTATCAAGACAATGTTTTGTATTTCTCTTAAACTCGGATTTCCAGAGATATTTTCAATGCGTTGTTGTGTTCCTTTTTTATCATTCCAAGCGCACCTACTATGACTGATACTATTTTTGTTTTCAATTTCTACGTTATTTCTCTTTTGATTCCCAGGTTTTTTTTACTTCAATAGTTTTTTTAAAATTTCTTGGTTACAATCCGCTGGGCAAGCCATATCAATTAATAGACGAGTTTTTTCTTTTCGGGTTTTGGCAATTATTTATCCGTCTTATTTCCTTCAATCTTTGTGTCTTTAAAGATGGCGTAATCCCATAGAATTTTAATGTCTTCTGTTTCTGTACGTTGCGCTGGGTGATCTTTATACCAGTGTTTATTAACATCTTTTCCAAACTGTTTGCACATTTTCCAGTGTAAGTACTGCCCCAGTCTATCGTGACGATTTTTATATTCATTTGGTGCAAGTACAGAACATTAGATAGTCTATGATTTCGTGATGTTTGTCACAGAACGTGCATTTTGAATCCGCACTATTATTAGGATATTTGCCTTAAAGTTTCTAGTGAAAAGATTCTTGTTTTGCGATGAAAGAATAAAGCTTTCCCTTCCAGCCTTTAATCCAGATGTTTGTAACCATCGATGGGTGTTAACTTTATCAACATCGGCTTTATTAGCCTCGTTCTGGATAGTGGCTCTCTCTAATTTCTGTCCTTATTCTTACAGACATGTTCCTTTCCTCCACACTTACTATCTATCTATCTATCTATCTATCTATCTATCTATCTATCTATCTTAATCTCTTACATATAGACATATATAAGAAATGTATGTCTTTATCTTCTAAATTTATTTTCGTACCTGAAAACGTAAACAAAGCAATTTTATAGCAGTGAATGCCTTTTTTTTTAATCCGACGTTATTTTTTATTTCTAATAAAGCAACCTCCGCTCAACAAAATTACATTTCAAATTAGTCACAACACATTACATTGCATCTAGACATATGGTTCTGTTGTTAATATTTTGGCCTTTTGCGTGGTATGACGACATAGAACCACATCTTGAATTTACGACCCGCCTCTGTTATTCCGCGACCATTATCGTCGCATTTTTCTATGTCAACAGAATATCATCTTTGATGGTGAATACTTTTGTTTAAATGCCCGTATAACCTCTTTTGATTAGTATATATATATATATATATATATATATATATATATATATATATATATATATATATATATGTGTGTGTGTGTGTGTGTGTGTGTGTGTGTGTGTATGATAAGTTAAAGAACAAATAGGAAACGTTTATCAATCTAATATCTTTTATTGAAGCTTTGTCAGAGAGTCAGATATTGACAAAAAAGCAGAAAACAATTCTGATAGTTTTACTTTTGTGTTACTGTGTTTTTCATTGGTCAATCATGCATATATGTATTTTCATTAGTCAATCATGTATATATGTATTTTTATTGGTCAATCATGTATATATGTATTTTCATTGGTCAATCTTGTATATATCTATTTTCATTGGTCAATCATGTATATATGTATTTTTTTTCGTCAATCATGTATATATCTATTTTCATTGGTCAATCATGTATATATGTATTTTCATTGGTCAATCATGCATATATGTATTTTCATTAGTCAATCATGCATATATCTATTTTCACTGGTCAATCATATATATATGTATTTTTATTGGTCAATCATGCATATATCTATTTTCATTGGTCAATCGTGTATATATGTATTTTTATTGGTCATTCATGTATATATGTATTTTCATTGGTCAATCATGTATCACGTCATATTAACCAATAAGAATCAAAGAACAGAAAAGTAAAAATACCAGAATTTCTTTCTTTTTTTTTATCCATATCTCAGTCTCAGAACAAGTTTTGATTAAAGTGAACCATGTTAGAATGATAAACGTTTCATATTCTTTATCACATTCTGTCAGATTCCGATCAATATTTGATCTCAACTCTCTCTCTCCTTCTCTCTCTCTCTCTCTCTCTCTCTCTCTCTCTCTCTATATATATATATATATATATATATATATATATAAACATGTAATTTTAGAACCTAATAGAATTCTTTTTCATTTTCTTTTTCTTTTTCATTTCAAAATAATCACAAATTTCAGGAATACGTTATGAAAGCGTCGCCCATGTGACGACAGCGTGACCATGTTAGACGGAAGGCTGATCATTTTAAAATTTTCAGTTATCTGTTCGGAATAAGACTTGTGTTTTTATGTCCATCGTATTTGTCATATTGAACTGAATTGTATTTTGATGAATATTGTCTTGAAAAAAGGTTTAATAAACCGAAACGTCAGACGTCGACATTTCTTTCATTTAACTACATTTAAGGATTTTTGTTTGTTTTTTCAAAATTTCTTCATTCTGTCGGATTTATATCCATTTACTTGCTTATATATATATATATATATATATATATATATATATATATATATATATATATATATGGAGAGAGAGAGAGAGATATGTGTGTATGTCTGTGTATGCGTTTGTGTGTCTGTATGTGTGTGTGCGTGCATATGTGTGTATGTTTGCGCGTGTCTACTTTTATCTTTTTGTTTATAACTGATGAACCAGATAACGATTGGTAATCTTGAAATCCTAATTTAAAAATGGCGCCATATTATTCAAATACGTCAGTCTAGAGAAATCAGATAATAATCTACGATTTAAATCTAAATTTCTACACCCGAGTATCTTAATTCAATTTCATATCTTATGAATTTGTTTTCTACATATGCGTCCGTTTCGTAGAAATCCGATCTTGTTTTTCAACTTGTCCTTTCGTCACATGACAATGTCTTTTGCATTACGAATCATGATTTACTGGGCTGAAATCTAAGTCGGTGGCGTTTCTCAATAGGCGATGTTTGTGTAGGTGACTACTATTCACAGGTGACGGCTCTTTATGACATATATACATACTCTAAAAAAATTACATTTTAACGCGCCTTTCTCTATGAAAAAGTACTTGATAAATGAAAATGAAGGAAAATGGGTCAATTTTTTTTCCTTTGGTAACCTTTTATTTCCAGAAAGAGAAAAAAAATGCTGTGGGAACAGCAAAAATGATAAGTGCTGTTTACGGAGCTAGTGACATAGCAAGAAGTACTTTTTGCAAGTGGTTCAATAGGTTCAGAAGAGGGAATGTTTAACTGCAAAACCGAGCTATTTCTAGCAGACATACACCCGTTTATGATGACCAAATTGAAACACTGCTGAAAATAATCCAGGTCACAGGAAACGACCCAACGCAGAGATATTCCACACATTTCATATGAGCGTTGTAAAACTTTGGAAATATTTAGATATGTACATCGTTATGACGTCTATCCATCTGTGATTCTTTGTTTAGATACTACAAAACCATTTTTTAAAAGAACGATCGTAAGTTATAAAATATGGATTATTTATAAAAAAATGTGGAAGGAAAAGGTTCATGGGTAAACCAAATGTGCTTAGCCATTTTAAAATATGGTCTTCAACCCAAGAATATTGTTTTGTATTTGTTGTCATAAGAAGAGCATTGTAGATTACCAGATAGTACTTTTTTCAAATAAGACCAGTTAAATGTAAGAAACGCGTCAAGAATTAGCTAAACAGAAGGATGTCGCTTTCCTTCAAAGCAACGCCATACCACACGGCATTTCTGCACACACGACATACAATGATACCGTTTGGCTTGTATGTCCTACAGCAGGAATGGTGCTGACCTTGACTTACACTTTCGTATAACCACTTCGTTCTCTATCAGAGAGAGACTTCCGTTCTCTGAAATCCTTTTAAATCCAATTAAAACTCTTCACGCAGAAAGATGTTTCGAAAATTAAGACAAGTACTTTTTTCAAATAAAACCAGTTAAATGCATCAATCTGTGAAATGTGTCAAGAATTACTGAAACGGAGGGATGCCGCCTTTCTTCAAGGCAAAACCACGTCATTTTTGCAGACACGACATACAATGATAACGTTTGGCTACAACAAGCATGGTACTCATCTTGATTTGCACTTTCGTATAACCACTTCGATCTCTATCAGAGAGAGAGAGAGAGAGAGAGAGAGAGAGAGAGAGAGAGAGAGGAGAGAAAGAGAGAGGAGAGAAAGAGAGAGAGAGAGAGAGATCCCTTCCGTTCTCTGAAATTCTTTTAAATCCAATTAAAACTCGTCACCTAAAAAGATGTCAAGTTCTGGAAGTATAGAATGATGTTGCCTGAATGATGCTGACAGGTAATGGAACAAATGGTGCATATGCGATGGAATAAGTCTATATATCAATATCTAAATATGGTCTTTGAAATATACTTATAAACATGCGATTTTTTTTCTGACCCAATTATTTGAAACCTGATTGCAGTTGGTCTTAACCTGCTCACCGCTCAGTGTCCTTTCTTGACACTTGACATAACATAAACTCTATTTGGTGTATAAATGAATCAATAATCTCTTTTGTTTTATTTCTAAAATGGATCTTTTGTAAAGCTTAGGAAAATTTATTTTTTAAAAAAAGTTCCTTTGAATCGTTTGTCAAAATAACAGAATATTTGATCAGCTCTCAGACAAGTAGATTCGGAGTTAGAAAACAAGAAAATGAATTCCAGATTTTAATCCTTAAAAATGAAAACCTCATTCTATTTTTTTTTTCAAACGGAATCTCGGTTAATCCAGACGAAATCACGATTCAGGAATATGATTCTCATTTCACAAATATTTTTCTTCAAGAATTGTAGCAAAACGTGTCTTAGATAAATATTAAATGGGTGGGAAATAAATCCCATTTGTTTGAAAGTCACATCATCTCAGTGCATCGCAGATCGAACAGCTTTTTCTTATTGTCGTCTGTCTGATTTCTTTTTTTTTGTAAATTACATATCTCTATCGCTAGTTTTAAATGTATCACGTATAAGGAAGTAATTAAATTAGAACTCTCCTCATTTTAAAAACAAAAACATTATTTATGCATGCGCAACATGTGTTATACGTTCGTAGACGGAACAGATATTTTGAAAAGAAATAAGTTAAGAAAACGTGGAATAATTTTGATGTCCTCACATTTACCTGATTTTCCATATATGTTCATATAGTCTTTCTTTCTTTCTTTCTGTTGTAGAGTAGTTTTCACAGTGGAGGCTTGTATTTCAATAAGTCGTCCTAAATTAGGTTCGACGTACAAAACGTTAGGAACTTGAAAATAAAAGTTAATGACGCAGCAATCTAGTTGTGATGGTTGGTACTTCAATGTCCGATATCGACTGAGTCGCTCAACACCACTGAGCCGAACTGGTCACTGCTACTACTACTTATTATCTTATTTTCTTTCTTTCTTTCTTTCTTTCTTTCTTTCTTTCTTTCTTTCTTTCAAAGTCCGTTCTTTTATCTCTCTCTCACAAGATGCCTTATGGAATTGGACAAAACAACGAATTAATACTAATTAAGATACCTGTATATATTTCTGAGATGTGGTATTGTAATTTCGGACAATTATTCTCATCTGTCAGGAAAGAAACTTTCTGAAAGTTGTCGATCTGGAGGGGGCGACCCCAGCGTGCGGCAAATTTGTGAATTTGCCATATTCATGGATTTTCGGGCGTTGTACGCTCCGGTCTTCTTCAGGTGATTGGAATTTTGAACTGAACTTTTTATTGCATCTACCGAGGTAGATTTGTCTAGTTCCACGTGCCATACCTTTCCCGGTTATCTCAGTATTAATTATTTCCTTTAAACTCAACTCTCCAGGTATTGAACTTACAACTCTTTGGGTGAAGTCATTGGATTACTTCAATCAACGCTTGAAGATAACAGGCCAAACATTGTAAATAGTGTAAATAATTATCTATCTATCTATCTATCTATCTATCTATCTATCTATCTATCTATCTATCTATCTATCTATCCTTCCTCCCGCCATTTGTTTCTTTTAATTAGTTTTTGACTGTTCATTTATAATTGTATCAGGATCATGATATTTATTTCAAAATTCACACGTTTATCAAAAGTCTTGACACTAAGAAGACTATTACTACTTCATTGCTCTGAAGAACCTTGGCCCTGAAATCTTGTCAAAGGGTTGCCCGAACAAAACATGTCTTCCAAGAACATAGAAGTTGTCGAGTGTATGGAATGTTTACAAGAAAGCCGTGAGCTCTCGTTTCATAAATAAGAATCTTGTTGATAACCTCAACAGAAGCAACGTTCTCAGTCAAAAACAGTGTGTTTTTTCGCTTTTCTCGCTTCGCTGCTGATGTCTTAATTATAACGATGCAAAGATCAGTAAAACTTTTGATAATAATCCCATCACTAGAGCGATCACCTTAAATATCTCGAAGGCCTTTGATAAGATGTAGCATACACAAATTCCCTCGCTATGGAATCTCCGGAAGATTTTTTCTCAATTATCAAATCAGGTCTATCTATAAAAGTCCTTGTCAATGGCTAGGCCTCTGAAGCAAAAAGATCAACGCTAGCAACCCTCAAGGCTCTCCTCTTGGCCCGACTCACTTTCTGCTTCATATTAACGATGTGTCTAAGAGCATTCTCAGTTCCTTAGTAGATATATATTCAGATGATACCACAGTGTATGGGTGAAGCTCCAAATATCTATATGACTAAGCCGTAATTAACTCTCTGCTGGCCTAGCCTCATAATTCAATTGGGAAATGCCTGGTTTGTATCATTCAGTTTTTTTTTTATAAATAATGTTCACCCAATGTAACGACCGTCAGCCACTCAATGTAGAGGGTTACAGAGTAAGAGTTACAGTTGATATGTGTGAAGAAAGCGGTTAGCTCTAGACTTGAACAGATTAAGATTGTAGTCATTGTGGAAGCATCCTCTTGGGAGTCGGTACCACAAAGCAGCGGTTCGTGGGAAGAAGCTGCACTAGTGGAACTTACGTCTCACCAATGCAATATGAAGGGAATGAGGGCGTGGCATGGTAGCTCTTAGACGTGACGGTTAGGACAGGTGGAACAAAGCAATGTAGTTCATCTTAGCACTTTACATGGAAATGCCAACAGTGTAACAAGAGGCTTGCGACGTTTAGTCTCCGAAAAAGTGGTTCTAGTGTGGGAAATATGTTGTCACCCACAAGGAGATACTTTTCGATTCTATCGAGATTGGAAAGTGAAGACTGTGCAGCATCTGCCTATATATGGCAACAGCACCCCATTTTTGGCCTGACCTGGATCTTGTAAAAGTAGAGGATATCATAAGAAGCGAGGTACTTACTGAAGTGCTACATGGAGCAGACCAGTTTCTCAGTATAGCTGGCGAATCGTATTCAAGGATACCCGTCTACTAGGGTGGCTAACCAATCCCTATTACAGATGCTTGCTCAGGCGCATTTGTGTTTATTCAACACCCACAGAGACCAGCTTTGGTTTATACTGCAACGATGCCGAGCAGATCTTAGTTACAGCTTCTGGGAAAGAGTGTCTTATCTAGCGTGATCAACAATTTGAGCTAGGCCAGCACTCTCATGCCCTCGGCCACGTTGACGTATAACTTCGTGCTAGCCCAGCTATCGACGGCTCCCAAAGGTTCCGTCTATCCGAGTTCACTCACAAGGCTTGGGTCAACACGTGGTATGGTTTTTCAGGCACATTCCAAAGGTGCCGCGCGCTGGGTTCACCCCTCCTCCAGACCAATAATATCAGAAAGTCTCTTTCCTCAGATATCGACCATATTGACATTCTGATCCGTGTCTCATAATCAGATTCCAAAATCTATCTCTAAATTATACACTTTTTTTTATGTAAGTCAACTTTGCTGCATAAATCCTGCGTATTACTATAATCAAAATCCGGGGCATTGGAGATTTTGAGAAGCATAGAATCACTCTTTAACTTCTGTTGTTCGCAGCTCCACCCTGAACCGGGATGGTAACATCTGTATGGTCCTACCTATTGGAAAATATTTAACCCCAAACAAAAACAAAACACCATGAAAGTATAAAAATACATTTTTATAGTAAAATCCTAGCAATACATTATTACTGTTGTCGTAGGATCCACCTAATTTGCATAGTGGAGTACCGACTTTATAAATATGGTTGGTACCGGGAAGAGAGGGAGGAATCAAGAGATTCACTCTCAATCGAACTCTCTGCATTTTGCAGTGAGGGACCCGGACGAGGCTTTGCCGAGAGGCAGGGTTACGTCCGGGGTGGTAGACAGGCCTTG